AAAGGACTCTGGTCTTTCAGCTGGGGTGAAAACCTCAGTAAGACTTGTTCTACAAGGCAATGAGTCCATGGACAAATTTGGGATATTGCCTTAACTGAGCCCTGTATCCCAGATAGCCATTATCTGAAATACTGCCTTCAGTTGGCCCTGTGTTTGAGATATCCATTTTTAAGATAGACAGAAAATCAAGAGCAAAAGCATAAACTGACAGAAAATAGACAAGGAAAACGATAATGATCTCAGAAATCTGAAGAGCAAGTCTTCAAATCTCTGGGAGGGAAAGAAGCACAACAAGTGCAGACTACCTCAGCTGATACCTCTAAGCTGAAGCTTTGTACTTAGCAAAAAAAAAAAAAATGCAAGTTCAAAGCAAAGCAGTATGAGGGAAATATCAAATTCATAAATACGAAATCATGCTCGGATTACGAGCTACAAAGCATAAATGTTCAAGCAAACTAAAAGATAATATCGGCAGCCGCCCACAAGCAAAAAATAACAGCTGCCGAAATGCGTACAAGGCAAAAAGATAAATAGTTTGTACATTGAGGCAAGCTGAAGCAAAAACAGAGGCAAAAAACAGTCAGAAAGCTGCATCTATCATATTAAGAGCAAGTTGATCAGCAAGATTCTAAAGACGACTGCCCGAGTCCGTATGCTTCAGCTGGAGGGTTAGGCAACCCAGCGAGGGTGGAGTCCAGCGCGGCATCAGCCCCAGCTGCATAAGAGGCGGGTTGAACTGAAGCCTAGACTTCAGCTTCTTTCATCTCAGCCTCTTTCATCTCTACATCCTCGGCTTGGAGGCAAGCCCGCAAATCAACCTCAGCGTGACTGGCTTGCTGTATATGAGGATCCTTGGGGTCCTCAGCCCAGATTTCGCACTGGTACCAGTCCAGATCGGGCGCAGCATGAAGAGCCAGTCTCCGAGCAACCCCATAGCCGCTGAGGTAGGCAGTCGAGTACTCCTCCTGGGTGTAAACCCTGAGGGCTAGCTGAGCCTCAGCATCGACCATCTTCTTCTGCACCTCCTCCATGGCTTTCTAGGAGGACTCTCGCTGCTCCTTCAACTGAGCCTCGGTATCGGCAAGCCTCTGCTTAGTCTGCTCGACCTTGTCACGAGCCTAAGAAAGATCTTCCTCCTGGTTCTTCAACTGAACCTCCAGGGCGGTGATACTCTGCCGCTGAGACTCCAGATGAATCCCGGCCTCGACCAACTCCTTCTCCCTTACTTCACAGGCTTCGCGGTGTTGTTTGACGTTAGCCTCCAAGATCTTGAGCTTCTGCCGAGATATCTCATCTCGGGCCAGCACTTGAGATTTAACCTCAGCGTTTAATTTTTGCTGGATCTTGGCTTTGAGGCTAGGAACGTCAACCGCGCCGAAGGCTTTTAGTAGGGCCTCACCCTCATATATCTGAGGCAAGACATCCTTCTCCATTTCATCGCAGAAGGTGTTGAAGGAGTCGATCACGACCTTAGCCCTGTGCTCGGCCTTCTCTTGCTTCAGCTGGGCGAGCTTCGCCTCTGTTTCAGCAATGTCAACCCTTCCCTGGAGCGTGTCAATCATCTCACAGGTCAGGGTGTGGTTGTAGACAACCTGCGGAGCCGGAATGGAATTTAAGTTAATAAACAATTACAAGTGGAATGAACTGGAAATGCTGAAGGTGCAGGATCTTATTACATACCTGCATCAACAGCCTCTGGTTGTCTCTAGCTGGATCTGGTACTGAAGGACCGGGTTCGGCAAATCCAGCGGTTGCCCGAACAGACCACTCTCGGACTTGCTCCATTTCAGATAATTTGGAGCAACCGCCGAAGTAAGCTCCAGCACTTTCCCTATGTCTCCCCCAGATCTCGCCCCTAACGCCATCTGGGATAGAGCACTTCTTGGCTGAGAACCCCATGTCCCCAGACTGGAAAGACTTAAAGGAGGGGAACGAAGTCGATGGAGCTTCGTCCGCTTTCTTGGGCTCAGTCGTTGCCCCTCCAGCCTGGGCTTCTTCAGCCTCGCTGAGAGGTTGACTTATCAAGGCGTCAACCTCCTGCTGAATCTCAGCAGTGAAGCCCCTAGGGGCCTCGTCTTCAGCAGTAGCCGCCTCTTCGGCTACTCCAATAACTTCAACATCAGGGAGCTCAGTAGCACTCCCCTTGTTGGAAACCGCTTCAGAACCCCCTCCTTCGGATCAGGAGTTCGCTTGTCCATCTCCATATCAGCAGTAGGATATGGTGGAGGGGTCCTCGGCGGCGACGGAATCGACGGTGGTGGCTGAGTCGGGGGCGGAGGACCCCCCCTGTGCTTCTTGGTACCCTCAGCAGCAGGTTCCCTTATTACAACACCGGGCATTGGCTTCAGCGTGAACTCTCCCGGACCCATAACAGCTGGGCCCGTCCTTCTCCTCTTCCTCTTCTCCAGAGGCTGATCGTCCATATCGTCAGAGTCTGAAGATTCAAGCTCTGAAAGGTCGTCTGACGATGCCGGACCCTTCCCTTCTCTCCTTCTGCCCTCCTCCTCAGACTACAGAAGTGGGGGAGCAAGAAAGGATTAGTAAAAAAAAAGAAAAAAAAAAGAAGAAAAAAAAAAAAAAAGCAAGCGCTGAAAGACTTACCTAAGTCTTCGGCCGGACCTCGGCAGCTCTAGAAGTCCCTTCACCCCTTTCTAGGGAGGTGATGGCCCTAGTCACTTCTTCAGCAGCCTGAGCGGCGAGTACTTCCTCGGCGAGCAAAGGCCTCAAAGGATCCCGCTTCTCCCACCAAGGCTTCTGCTTTAAATAATTTGCAGCAGCCTCGATCTGAAGGCCCGTCGAGTGTAGGTGCGAAGGACGATCCTTCGGAGCAGTTATAGCTGGAGTTCGATCTAAGATGACCCTTTCAACATTCACTCCCAACCAATCGTAGTCAATGCCGGAGGTAGCCTCGCTCAACTCTGAAAGGAGAAGTCGAAGGTTAGCTCTAAGATATGGACAAAGCAAATAAAGCAATAACAAAGTGAAGATCTCGGCCCCAGCCGAAGGTACTTACCGCCTCTGTGCTTTCGGCTGAGGCCGACAGCTGCTAACATCTTCTCTTGGAAGACATAGTGGTTATCCAGAAGCCATCGGGTGGGGATGAACTTCATTAGGCCAGTCCCCCCAGGATTTTTCTGCTTCCCAAAGAAGCTCATCTGCTCATAACTTGGGTGGCTAGCGGCATCAGTGTCTTCAGGACCCAAATCTTGCATGTTCAGATCGGGCCTGGAGAGATAACGAGGGGCCCCAAAAAAGTAGGGATGCTCCGGATCAGCAGGGGCCCTCACCCAGATCCACTGGCCTCTTTCGTCCTTATCCGAAGAGTCGTTCGGCCACATGGTCAAATATTGCGGATGACTCTCAATTCGCCACCAGCCAGCCCCCCCCCCCCATGGTGACCATATATACTTTGGATGTTCTGCACCAGCTGATGCATCCTTCGGAAGCAGTGCAGATTCGGTTCAACAGCAAAGAACCTGCATACCCAGAGATAAGTCATCACCCGCCGAATACTGACGGGTGTCAACTGGCACGGGGAGATCCTGTATTTTATCAAAATGTCCCTGACGAAGGGATCCAAGGGGAACCGAAGCCCGTATTGCAGTTGCCGAGTGTATACTCCCACATACCCAGGGGGAGGGCGATGAATTCTGTCAGTAGGCGAGGGCATTCGGCACCAATACCCATCTTCTTCAAGGATGTCGTAGTGTAACTCGATCTGTTCGGCAAACCGATAAGCTTCAGTGTGCCTAACCCACCAATTATAAGGGGTATTGTCAATCATAGCTCTCTGGGATTCGGCATTCTGCCATTCGACATGCCCAAGTAGCAAATCCCAGAGCACAAGAGGCAGATCTTCCTCCTGTTCAGCAACCCCAGCCTCGGCACCCTGCTGAGGGGAAGGCCCAGCCTCGGCCCCTTGCTGAGGGGCAGCTCGTTCAAGGGGACCGCCGGAATCCCCCTTTTCGGGTCTTCCTCGACGCGTTCCCCATTCCATACGTCGGCGCGATCCCTGGGGTCCCTGGCCTGACCTCGTCTCCCAGTCCGGTGACCTCTTAAACGAGCCATAGATGAATTCGCGAGAAAGGAAATCGGGAAAAGAGGAATTCTTTGAAAAAATTAAGAAAATCAAGGGAAATTTGAAGAAAATTACCTTTATGATTACCGAGACTCGCCGACTCAGTGGATTGGAGCAACGGGTTGAGCGTCAAGCTTTGATTTCGGGGGTGGAACGAAGTTTCGAAGCGGAAGCACTGGGTTTTAGAGAGTTCGAAAGTGAGTTGGTGAAGAAATGAGGAGAGAAATGGCGAATTTGGTTTATATTTCCAAAAAATGGGAATTTAGAAAGCCAAAATGCTTAATTCCTCTTAAAAACCTCCTTAAGTAACCGTTAAACACTCTATCTCTTAACTAACCGCCCATTATCAATTCAACTTCCCCACTAATTATCTTAATTACAGTTATTTAGTTAATGACTGTTTAAAATTTAAATCTTCCGATTTAATTAAATCATTTACTTCCCTCCATTTTTATTGGATTCAAACCCGACCCGTCATCCTTCCAAATCGGGTCTGGGGAGCAAGTTGTTTGGGTTCAATTAAGCTAATTGGGCCTAGTCATTATATGACCCAATATTCCAAGGTCAACGCCCAAGCCTCCAATTAAGCCAAGTCAGCATAAGTCAAGCGGCCTAAATTGTCATGGTCGGCCCATGACTGAGTCCGGCCCAATCATCCTCCTTCCTTTGTCATGCTAAGGTATAAAAGCCTTCAATTGAGTCATTTATCATCAATTCACAGAAAAGCCTCAAGCATTAATTCTCTTGCATAGCTTTCTCTCTCTCTCAACACTGTTTGACTTCGGCATCGGAGGGGTCTTCCTCGGATCCACCCCCGAGGCCAGTTTACGTGTATTTACTGTGCAGGAAACCTTCGGCCCAACATCATTTGGACCGGATTAGTCTTCATCCACTTCATTGGACCTTCGGCTAGGTCCCATTGTTTTCACCCGAAACAACAACTATATATGACACACTAGAATATGCATCTTACATGAGCAAGAGAAATCCCACATTAAGTAACAAATACAGGAAGGCCAACCATCTAAGGCCTACATGCCAAGCAAAAGACACTTTTTTTATGACAATAATTCGAACAGTTTTGTCAGCAGCACTAAGAAGAAAACCTTTCTCTATCATGGGGAGAAGAGAAGTCGATATTTGGGCCACGAGGAATGATCCCGTAAGGATTAAGGGAAGGATGACTTCCATAATAGTGCTTCTTGATGTGATCCATCTTCACTGTGCTGCTCATGCCAGGAATTTGGAAGATATCTTTAGTGTAATTGAACAAGTTTGGATACTCGCGGATCAGTTTCTTGTTGCATTTGAAGTAAACAGCATACACCTATGAGCAGATCGAGAAAAGTATAGTTAAAGCGAAGAGCACAATCGCACAGAAATGAACCAAAATTATCTAAAGCATGACTCACAGGATTATCAGGTTGTACATTGGTTAATAAGAAGATTATTTTAGTCACCCTTATATCATTTTCAGATGCAGCTAAATGTCATATCATGTGGCTAAAAGGTAGGAAATTTGTAACACAACAACTTGAAATACATTTATGTGAGCCTGATTTTTTGGATAGTGAGACTGGCAACCAGTGAGCTAACTGCTACTCTGCTACCCATGGTTAATTTACCTCATCAAACCGTATTAGTGTAACAAATAAACAAATATCTGCTTCAGTTAGCGAGCTTCCACATAGATATCTCTGTGTAAAAAGTATCTCTTCACATTTTCCCAGCGCTTCGTATAGTCCATCAACAACCTAAGAAATGGATCATAAACAGATATCATCAGGACACAAGGTTGAGCACCAGAACCATGCCTATTAAAAGCCAACAAAACAAAGATGGATCATAAGGTAAGATTCAAAAAACAACGGTATTAACCTGATCATATGGTTCTTGTTTAGTGGCGAATCCACATCTGTAGACACCATTGTTGATCTTATCATATATCCATTCATTAACCTCATCAATTTGAGTTCGCAAGTGATGGGGATAAAGGTCCAAATTCCTATTCTCAGCTACATCATTGAACTCAGAGTTTAACATGCGAATAATCTCTGAGCTCTCATTGCTTACAATTGTGTGAAGTTTCTTGTCCCAAACAACCTGTAGAAAACAAGTTTGTAAATCAAAAGATAGGGTAACGAAAATTGTCATGTTAGTGCCATAGAATGAGTGATACATACAGGAACTGTATATTTGCCAGAGTAATTAGCACTTGCAAGCTCATAAAGATGTCTGATAGTCTTTACACTATTCAAAGGGTCCGGCTCAGCACCTGGTTCTTCAGTATCAGAGTTGGGAAAAACCCATCCCATATGTGAATCACCTTCTTTTGTTCTTTCCCATTTGGTTTTGACAGACTGCAAGTGCAAGGAAATGATATGTTATACTAAGCTAGAGCTCTACATATGATGGTATGAACATTGTATCAGTTATAGATGCCCATCTTACCGAGAAACTGATCGCCTTTTCAAGCCCTTTAAGCTTCAAGAAAGAAAGGCATCTACATGCCCAAGGACAAGCATAAGATATATATAAGTGATATCTTCCAGACTCAGGCAGAAAGGCTGATCCTTGATCTCTTGAAATAAAATTGCGGAATGCTGATGGAGGGCGAATGTAAGCACCAGTCTTTGCTGTTGTATCTTCTGCAGTCTGAGCCATGGTACACTAAAACCGAAAACAGAACAGGTTAGCAATGTTTGCTAAAGTATGACGAGAATAAATTTCATTAAAGAACCTATTATGTGAAATGAGAGTAGATGCGGAGAAACATATAGGACAACTTAATAGCAGTGAAATAAGACTTCAAAGTTCAAATAATTTTACAGTATTCTGTAGCATGTGATTGAGCAAATTACTACTGTCTTCTTTATAGAAAATATGAAAAACATATATAGTTTTTCATAGATAGATCAAGGGACATGACATATGCACAACACAGGGAAAAAAGATAGCTTGAAAGCTGCAATTCCGACATGGTTTTATTAGTGTGATACCAATTCAGGAACCGTCATCTCATTCCCCCCCCCCCCCCCCCCCTCCACCCAAAAAAAACCCCACCCACACACAATGGCACAAAGGAACGCAGCTTATAAATAGAACTACAATTACTATATTAAGGGGAGATTGAACTAAAAATATAGGAGCTTGAGCCAGAAGGTCAATTGAAGCAAGGGGAGATTGAACATTCCAAAATAAATAAAAACGTAATGCAACAATTGATGTCATAAATCTTGATGCAAAGTCCTCGTACTTCTCAAGTCCTCAACACTTACTTTCATTTTAATCTCATTCTATTTGTTTGTTTTTGTGCTAGGTGATTTGAGGGGCAGAATTTTCATAAACTTGAAGCAGAAATTGCTATACTTGTCCAATGAGCTGCTCCAGGCCTCTAGCAGATAAAACATCAAATTATCAATTGTATCATAAAAATCATTATGATATAAATTGGTGCGAATAGCAACCAATCAGTTCTATGTCTTTACAATTCTTAAATGTTTAGATTCAAATGTGTATACATAATAACATTGATCACGTATACATTACAAATACAGATCAGGTAATCCCTCAAGAAAAGATGTGTAAAACAGTTTTGTCAACTATTTAATCATTTTAAGGGGCTAGTTTTTAGGATTACCAAGTTGGCAAGCTGGGAGTATAATGTAATAATTGGGTCTGATATTGGTAAACTAGCTAAATGTCTTCACAACATTTCTGAGGGATTCTAAGGTCTAATAACAAATTCTAAAACTCGCTTCCTATTTTTGCTACAAGGGGATTCTTACCAGGGACAGTCTCAATAATCTGGGTATAGCCAGTGAAAGAGGGGTCTTGTGACTAAATGAAATGACATGAGCACTATTGTCTTTGGTTGTCCTTTAGCTTTTCAAGTTGTGCAAATCCTGCAGCTAGATCAGGATTAATATCTAGATGATTTTCGGTGATTTATGTAAAACAAAGCAAAACGATGTATCAACTTGTGCAGCTAATAAAGAACATGATCAAAATTAGCACTTCCTTCCTATTCGGGTCTTATACTGTACTACCACAGCATTCAGGTTACATAGTGACAGAATTAGCTTGCTTCTCATGTTTATTACCATGATAATACAGAACGAGCTGATCATACATCGGTGTTTTACGGAACCAAATTGGTGAAATTTCTTTATTGATCAAGACTTTTGATTCTCGACATCAGTTAGTATACCAATTTTGTTAAGAGGTAAACAACATGATGCTAGTACACCAGACAAACAAGATCTGTTAAATTGCACATAATACACACTTGATATAGTAATGAACTAGCTTCAAAACTAATCGTACCTCATATGCCAAATCTATATGATCAATTTGCTCAAACAGATTAGCCAATTTTATGTACAAGAAATACTAGAACAAACCATTCCCGCAATAAATTAAAATTCAGAACACCATTCATATATATAAAACAGTGAATTATTCAAAACATACCCAATAAAATTTCTATTGATCTTACTAGCCGCCGCCTCTTCCGCTGTTGCTTGAGGAAAACTGAGAGTGGAAGTAAGAGAGAAAAAAAAAAGTTGGTAAAAAGCTTCAATGCTTTATTGGGTGTAATAATAAACAAATCAAACTACTCCGTCATTTGAGAATAAGTGTCACTTCGATAATGTAATTTGAACTAATAATACAACAATTAAATAATGTCGCGACAGCACGCCAGTTTAGATTGCTTTTGCTTTTAATATTGAGGAACCAGAAACCAAATTAGACATTTGTTTAGAAAGAAGCTTCATCTTTCCTCTGTGTTATTTTGTGATGCTTTTTCCTGCTTGTTATTCTCAAGTGAGGAGAACCCACCACTTATATTTATCTTCTTTCTATAAATTTTTCACAACTACAATCTCAAAAGCTTCCATTAATCTGGGTAATGATGTATTATTAACTGAGCAAGAAAAAGGGTATTATAATTTTCTCAAAAATGCCCATCAAACTTCAGATTTACCCCATGGAAAAGCAATACATACCCAGATCATCAAAAACTGTTGTTTACATTCCTCCATTTATCTGCAGAATTTTCTGCTTAATATGTACCTTAAATTCGGGGACCTTGATAGTGCACTCTACTTGTTCGACGAAATGCCCCAGAGAAATGTTGTGTCTTGGTCTTCGTTTATTGCTGGTTTTGTGCGCCGTGGTTTTGCTAAGCAAGGTCTTTTTTATTTCTCCAGTATGTTTAGCACTGATGTGAGGCCTAATGAGTTCACTTTAGTTAGTGCACTTAATGCTTGTTCCTTTTCTGGGTTTGTTTCTCAGGCTTATCAGGTTTATTCATTGGTAATTAAACTGGGATTTGAATGGAATGTTTATGTTAAGAATTCATTTTTGACTGCTTTGATTAGGAATGGAGAATTAACGAATGCTATTAAGGCTTTTGATGGGTGTTTAGATAAAGATATTGTGTCTTGGAATGCTTTGATGTCGGGGTACTTGCAGTTTTCACCCTCAGAAGTGCCCAGCTTCTGGTTGAGGATGATCTGTGAGGGCGCGAAGCCTGATGGGTTTACATTTTCAGCTGTTCTAAGTGCCTTGGGTAATGTTGGTGATGATAAGTTTGGAATGCAGATGCATGGTCAGCTTGTTAAGTTTGGCCATGCAAGTGAAACATGTGTTGGGAATTCAGTAGTTGATATGTATGTGAAGTCTGGGGACTTGGCTAAAGGGCTGAAAGCTTTTCGTGAGATCAGTTGCAAGAATATTCGGTCTTGGACAACGATAGCAACCGGGTGCTTGACTTGTGGGGCGCCTAGCAACGCGCTAGAGCTCCTTGGAGAAATGAAGATTGCAGGTACAAGGCCAAATCAGTTTAGTCTTGCCACTACCTTCAAAGCATGTGCTAATATTGCTTCTTTGGATGAAGGAAAGAAAGCACATGGTTTGAGAATTAAGCTTGGAAGTGAGATGGATGTATGTGTGGACAATGCTATGCTTGATATGTATGTCAAATGCGGCTGTATTGATAATGCAATGACAGTGTTTAGGCGTATTAAGGATCGGACAACCATTACATGGACTACTATGGTTATGGGATTTGCTCAAAATGGCCAAGCATTAGAAGCTCTCCAAGTTTTCGATGAAATGATAACTGCAGGCGTTGAGCCAAATTACATTGGTTTTGTGTGTGTACTTTATGCTTGTAGTCAAGGTGGATTTGTGGAGGAAGGATGGAAGTATTTTTCTTTAATGAGTCACCAATATGGAATATTACCGGGAGAGGATCACTATGTTTGTATGGTTGATCTGCTTGGACGAACTGGACATATCAAAGAAGCAGAAGAACTTATCTCAAAAATGCCTTTCAAACCAGGACCATTAGTTTGGAAGGCCCTACTTGGCGCTTGTCATATTCATGGGGATTTTGAAGCAGGGAAGCGAGCAGCAGCGTGTGCTATCCATCTTAAGCAGACTGATCCATCGACATATGTCTTGTTATCAAACTTGTTTGCGGATTTGAATCACTGGGAAGGGTCAAAAGAAATGAGGGACATGATGAAAACTAGAAATGTAAACAAAGTTCAGGGAAGCAGCTTGTTATTATCTGGATATTCCTTGCTTCTTCCGTGATTTTTAAAGGTCTTGCTAATTCTCATACGTTCATTTGTTCCTCTTTGAGCAGTTATCGCGAGTTCTTGAGCTTCTTTGGGAAGGAAGAAACATTACCTATGGGCAGCAAAAAAATTTGCATGATCCGCAGCAACTTGCAAAAAGTTCATCACACTAAACATCATAATTCATTTGTTGAGCTTAATCATAAAATGTGTATGCTTTGAGCTTCTTCAGATTAGCTTGCATCTTAGTGTCAATAAACCAATAAAAATTAAACAATTTAAGGGTTTATATCTGTTATGGGAGATTTTGTTCGACCGTTGACCGACGTTGACAGTCAAGATTAAGATATACAAGAGTACAAGACCATGTCAAGATAGTTACTAATGGTCCCTAAAATTAAGGAGATAATCTCTCTTGCTAAAAAGAAGTCTATTAAAGTCGTTGACCGTATGAACAATCTATAATGTCTACATTCAATAGAAGACCAAGTAAAATGGTGAATAACCACTTCCTACTTTCAAAGGAGGTCATCCCCACTATTCTCCAACCGACCTATTATCTACTGTTGGAGTTCTATAAATAGAAGAGTCTTCCTTACATGAATTCATTCACATCATACGCATATTACCTCCTCCTAAATACAATACACTACATACTACTCCTTTATCCCCATGTAATGTATCCAACCTCCATCCACATGGACTTTCCACTAAAAGTATCATTGCTCAACTACTGTATTCTAATCCCAAACATCACTCATCTAAAAGACCACTACTATAATTTACTTCTGCAATATTACTGATCCACTACGCCAAATGCGCACCTGACCATACTATATGGCTACGCCCAAGCTTGTTATTTATTTCTATGCATGCTTTATTGATATCGATTATCATACACATATTGTACTTGTAAACATTGGCTTTATGCCCGTATTATAGTGGATTGGTGGACTCATCTCCACCCGCGGTGTTTACCCACCTTTATCGAGGTTTCCTGCGTCACCATATTGTGTCTTCTCTCTCTCTTTATTTTTCCGTCATTTATATTCCGCATCTAACGTTCCTTATTTTAATTTAGTTGATCCATACGTAGCCTGTATCCCATAACAAATCCTACTTGACGAAATTTAGCATAAACAATTTGGCGCCGTCTGTGGGGATGCAGCTAGATTGAAATATCAACCCTACAAAAGTTCCTTTCTAAACACATTTAAACACATTCCTGTCATCACGATATATTCAATCCCGTAAAGTGACTTTATAAGAATTATTATTCGTGGTCCCAGCGATGAGAAGTGGTGATCAACGCCAACTTAACTCGAAATGTTGTGACAAGGGCAATTATCCTTGACGACCTTAGAGTTTTGGTAATGTTACTCCTTGTGGTTTAATTTAACTAACTATTTTGCGTCTTCTTTAAGCTATGAAAGACTATATCATCACCATCAAATTAAACATCACACTTAAAAGGGAAGGACGCCATGGAAAACACTACTTTAAGTCATGGGTCTCGTTTAAGTCATGGGTCTCGCAATATCCCAAAAATCCAGGGTTTGTCGTTATACACAATATTATTTTTTCGTTTAATTAACATTATTTTTAGGTTATGTTATCGGTATCGACGATGACAGTCAGCTTCGATGACGATAGTCAGTGTCGACGACGAAAGCCCGTTTCGACGACGAAAGCCAGAGTCGACGACGAAAGCCACTTTTGACGATGACATCTAGTTTCGACGACGACATCAATTAGTGTCGAAGACACCAGTCAGCAACGTCGTTAACAATCAAGTGTCATCTATTAATGACGCCATGAAGACAAATGTAACTTTAATGATGATACAAGTAAGATTTTACCTATTGCAAAATTCAGATTTATTACTTGAGACTATTCTATTCTGCAAATATTTTTTTTAAATTTTATCAATAACTCATGACATTAGCTTATGTAGCGCTTAGATTTATATAACTTGTGATTAGGGTTGTACAGAGTGCAGTTTAGACCGCACCAAACCGCAACTTTGCAGTTTGGTGCGGTTTGCCGTTTGAAAATTGCGGTGCGGTTTTAAAAAATGACCAAACCGCGGTTTGCGATTTGGTGCGGTTTCAAAAAATATTGAGACTAAACCGCACTTTAATGCGATTTGCGATTTTTATACTATGTTTTCATTAAAATTATATAAAAGAACTAAATTATATGAGCTAATCTTTAACTATAGTTGATTAAAGATTAATTAAAAGAGTTTAATATTTGAATTATAAACTAATAATTATAAAATGAAATAAAATCTTAGTTTTTAAAAGAATAATTACAATTTTAATAAAATGTGGTTAAACCGCAAACCGCACCGCACCAAACCGCATTTTGTGGTGCGGTTTGGTGCGGTTTTTTTAAGTGCGGTTTGGTGCGGTTTGAAAAAATTACAAACCGCACCGCGAACACACCTACTTGTGATGACTAATGTATGTTTTACCAAGCGTATTTTTAGATGATGTAAGGTTACATGAGATTTATAATATTAATTGATTTGTGACATTGGAATATTGTCATCAACAACAACAAGTTGATGGTAACATTATATTTTGTGGCTAACTTCATTTCACATTGTTTGCATTTTTCATGAAGTTGCCACAAGGAGGCAAGATAGTATGCTCTGATTATTAATCTAACCCTTTGATTAAATTTTGTTATTTGATCTCTGATGCTTCAATATATCATGCTTTGGTTACTATGATTATTTTTTCTTAGTTTTTAAACGCTTTGATCATTACACTTTGATTAATTGTCGATGCTTTGATTATGATTCATTCTTAACGTAATTATGAATACTTAATGCTATTTTGAATACATATGGTGGAGAATGTTATTTGTTATTATTTCATGATTTATTAACAGTGAGTTGATAAATGAGAATGCTCTCGTAGATAATTTACCAATCTAGAATATGACACCGAAGGCCAGACTTGACTTACTTTTCCGAGTGATCCAACATTGGGGCTCGATTTAAATGACATCTGTAAGACCCTAGAAATTCCTTTCCTTTAAATATCCATTCTACTCTTTAAAATACGATTTAGGAATAACTAAGACATTACCGCCACCGTGAAAACGGCTAAGGCAATTATCAAAGATACACAGCGGAAGACTCAAAATTAAAAACCGTTTAAACAAGTCAACTCAAAATCAACCAAACAAAAATAAAGTTTAAAGCCAAACAAACAAAGTCAAATAAAATCAAACTACAACTTGGAACCATTAAAGGCCCTTATTCAAAACCGTTCCAAAACCAAACCTTTGTGTTAGTCCACATAAAATATGTCATAAATAAATAAAGCATAAAACACCTCGTAACCTAGCTAATGAAAACTAGTAAGATTCACTCTTCTCTCATGCCCCATCATGATTATGCTTCAATACCTAAAAAGTTTATCTCTACTTGTTTCCACTACTCTCCATTAAAAATGGGTCATCATAGGGCCAAGGTAAAGTCATGGCCAAACACACAAACACACACAATCAGCAAGGCTGAGTACATAAGCGTAAATTAACCACGCTAACATGCTTTCACCTATCAACACACTTACCTCATTGCACCTGTTTACAAGCACACACATCAATCAACAAAACACAATGACTAGACACTAAATAATTCATTTAGCGTTGATTACGCATCGAACAGGTTTCCTCCTACTAACCTCCCCCAAATAAATTGAGGTTAACTGACACGGGAGCTAACCGTGCCAGCGATAAAACCACTCAAAGGTGGCGGAATTCCTGCGCATAATAATAAATAAAAAGGAATGTACAACGTCCTGTACTCCATTAGAAGTTATGGTTAAATATAAAACCCTATAACTCCCCCCATTGTTCATACTCAAGGTATATACGTTCCAAGAGTTTTGGTGTGTAATCTCTTTCACTTTACATTATTTACCTTTTATTGGACTTGGTGATAACTCTCAAAGCATCAGAAAACAATCAACAATAATTATTCAATCAACCAAACATACCAAATTTATTCTTGAACACTTAGTGACCACATATTATTTAATGTTGAACCCTTTTTAATTCTACCTCAGTGTCAAAGACACCTTAAACGCATAATGCGCCAAAATCTATCCCTCGGTGTTAAAAACACTTTAAGTGCACAAAGGCACCAACATATAATTTATTCCTTGTGTACATAGACACTTATATAGCTCCTTCCTCAAGCTTAAAGCATCAATAAAAATTATTTGAACGATAATAAAATTCCTTTTCAATATTCCAAACATAATTAAACATGTAGTTTAATTAATCATGCCTTCTAACATGCCATAAATAAAAATGTGGTTCAAACACAACATGCCCAAAATATAATTTTCCAACTATTAATCCATCACAAATAATTCATGCTTCACAATTCAATCACCAACACCATTAATTCACAATTCCATACATAAACCTTAGCATGATACTACTTGTAATTGATTGAAATCAAGCCTAGCATGATTCTACATCATCAAAATATGCTAAGTGCGCGAACGTACCTCAAATAAGCCCTTAAAGTAACCGATTACACTACAACAATTCTCGAATTAAGTCTCCTACATAAAGGGACAATAATACTATATTAATTCTCCTTGTATACACAATTTTCAGCAACTTAAACTCACTTTAAATGACTTATAATAATCGGAAAATTATTTAAAAACCCCTAATTAAAATCCTTGTTAATGGATAATCACACCCTGTTATTAAAAATCACAATTATACTACTTTAAATAAAATTCCAACATTTTAAACTAATCAAAAATCCTTTAAAACATCATCAAAATACATCTTTATACTTAAATTACATAGAAACATTAAATTTCTCTTACCCCTTTTAAACTCAAGGATAAAATTTAAAGCATAAAAAAAACATCGTTAAAAATCAAAAATTGCCCAAAAATCATATTTAGAGGCTAAATTTGGCCACGAGAGGGTGGTGCACACTACCAAAGGTCCTGAATCTTTCTTAAAACGTTATTTCCACACGAAAAACACTACTTTTTTTATCAAAATCGGAGGAGTTCAGAACCTGATCGGGATTAAAACGGGATTAATATTAACGAACGGAAATCTAATAATTAAAACATGAATTTACGTGTTCAAAATAATCTGGAATTAAGTTAAACTAATAAGTAGCTATAATCACCAAAATTTCAAAACATCATTACTATAAAAGCCCTAAATCAATTATTCATAAAAACCCTAAAATCATGATTTTCAATAATTAAAAACCCTAGGTTATAAAATTTACAAAATCTGAAAATTATAAAGTTTAATCATCAAAATACAATTTGATACTAATTAAATTAATTTCAAACAATAAAATTAAAACCCATAAATTAATAATTATAATTACACAAATTAATAAAACAAAGGAGAGAGAAAATAAGACTAACCTTTTTGTGTGGGAAATTTTTGGGGATTCATGGGGTATTTATAGAGTAGAAAGTGTAGGGTTAAATTTGGGCTTATAAAAATGTGGGCTTGAGTTATGGGATAGGGCTTAAGTTATGGGTTTTGGAATGGGTTATTCCAATAAGAGTATGTAGGAATAATTTACATTGCCCAATAATTAATAAACGTTTGGCCCAAAACATATATTACTTTTATAAAACTTTATATTTAAAATTCTTTAACCCTTTAAAATATTTAATTAAAATACTTGAGCCCTTGACAATACATTTTATTAAAACTTAAATACTTTATAAAAATACATAAAAAAATACGGGGTATTACAACATCGTATCAAGGTAACTTTCTATTATTTAAAATGTATGTTGACTTACATCAATCTTGTCTCGCCGACACTATTGAGGTACATAACATTATCGCTTTTAGTTTCTACATATACATTGTCATGATCATGCTCTTTAATTTGTTACCTAGCTTAAAGTATTTATTTCTGTTTCCATTGATCATCTTCACTAACGTATTATTACTTTGATTTTCTAATTAGCATTGTCATTGACATGATCTACTGCCTTAAAGTTTTACTTGTTATGTCTATCATCTTTGGTGACATAGTAATACACATTTATGTTTTCGTTATTATTTGGCCTATTTATTGTTCTTAATTGATTATCAGTAATTCTTGTGATGAAACATGTGGTTACATCTTGA